TACAATCACATTATCATTAAGGAATATAATATTACGCACTACCAATACAATCACTCTTCACAACACACGACACTCATGATTTTTATTGCGGGAGGAAATTAAAACCGGAGAACCCGGAAAAAAAAGAGAACCCGGAAAAAAAGAGAACAGCACATCAAACAAACTCAACTCACATATGGATGCATAGTTCAGTCATGGATCGAACACTCGACCCAAGGCATGAACTGCACAGCGGCGCGAGGAACTAGCGCTGTAGCAGTGAATTTGCCACCCATGCCACCTCATAACATTAAGAAATTACTACAGGTGGCGCGCGCGCTGCTGCACTCGTTTCTCATCTCTGAGGTCTCGGTTGCGATCGTATGATATGAGTAGACTCCTTTGATTCAAGGGTTTTTCTCCGGGTTCTAAGGTAGTAAGTCAGTTTTCTTCAATTCTTTATACACAGCACTTTAAGGTAACTCAACAATACGAAGAAGCAGCCATAACAATCAACCGCGAACACGGTCTCCCAAGAGCCCATCTACAAACCTTTGAGCCAAACATCCACGCTCGTTTTATTCGATTGAATGTCAAGGCTTTCGTTAGAAGAGCTTGTGTACCACATGTTGACGTGTTCGGCTGTGAATCAGGTATTTAGTATTATTAATTTATTTATAATTACCCTGCTAGCAAAGTCTGGCCCTTGTTGAAGTTTCTTGGCAGAGAAAAGAATCGCCAACAAGGGAGACACTGCTAGCAGGGAATATTTATTTTAAAAAATGTAGCAATAAAAGTGTGCTTACTAGTCTTAATCCCAATGCAAATCATTTTACATTCATTAGATCAAGCGAAGAATAACGTTCAGAGAATTGAAGAGCCCAACAGAAAGCTTAACGATGGTGAGTGAAATTTCTCACACATGAATAGGTCATTTGCAATAATATGTCATGTGACCTATCCTATTACTGAGAGCGAGTAGTTGTGTTCTAATGAGCATCAGAAATGATAGGGGCTCTTTCATATTAGCGATGCTTCAGAACTGAATATGTACCTAAGGAGAAATGGCAATAAAAATAAAATTGAATATTTATAAGAATTTATATGGAAATTTGGCTTGAACAGCAAGCACAACTTCTTGTTTCAAGGAAGTAGGGACACGTGACCTGTTGGTGCAAATGACCTATTACGACATATAATTTTTTGAAAAAAACTTCCTTGACTCGTGAAAGTAGCGTCGAAACAAGCGTTGACTCGTTTCATGATCAAATTGGAATTAGAAGCTGATTGCAGAGTCCATTGAGCCAGCACATTACATAACATCAGAGAACCAACGAAGGGTCCCAGAATTGAAGACATGACTACAGCGGTGAGGCGTGCCTTGGGGGGAGGGGAGGGGGAGAAGTAGCCCTCACATTCTTGGCTTCTACCTTAGCTGGAAAACTTTTTTAAGGGTCTTTGGCGCTTGAGGGTCGCACATATGAAGAACCACTGACTGTGAACGTACTGCACTCAGAACATAGAGTATGTTATATATTCTATCATGTAAACACTAACTTTTTTGCAGACGAGTGTAGTTTTATAAACCCGCTTGGTATGGAGTCGGGCGAGATCAAGGACTATCAGATTGAAGCGTCTTCGGTAAGAGTGCCGTTATAATGTCATTGTCAATATTGATGGGGGGGGTACAGAAACTCAAATTAACATAAGCTGAAGGCGAAATTATTCTTTCCGTTTTATTTGGAGCAATAGAAGCCTTCAGCATCAGGTTTATCGCTAAACACTAACCCCTAGGAATCTGGCCCAGAAATACGCCCGTAAACAAGGAAAAATACTCAGCATCAATGAAATTAGATATGACCACTACCCTTATCAGGCAAGACTCACTAATTCCTCCCCTGTTTTTATTGACACAGTATCTCAAACCAGCAGATGAGGAACCTCACTACCCTTATCGAGCAAGATGGAGTCACCTGAACAATAAACTCTGGTGCGCAGATACTAATAGTGATAAAAGACCCTGGATAATGGTTCGATTGTCGTCTTGGCCGAAATATGTCTCAAACATCAAGTATGAGAAGATTACCGTATCACACGACATGAATATTGAAGTGAGCGTGAATGGAAGGGATTGGGCTACTTTTAAGGTTTGTTAAAAATTTTTAATGTCTTTCATCTTAATTAGAATTATATACCCTTATTTCAATAAAGTTAGTCACCAGAAAAGCTACAAAGCTGAGACCGACAAGGATTATGGGTAGATGCATTTTACATGTTTCAACCGCTTGATGACTGTTGATGGACTGGAGATCTTCTATCTTCTACCAGTTACAAGTTAACCTCCTCTGAGCATTTTCAACTGCTGCAGTTTTTGTAAAAAGCTTTACTTGTTGGATATAAAATATTTCCCATGATTCTCAGCGATCACATTCTTTTTTGGTGACTAACTTTATTGAAAAAGTATATTTATTTCAATGAAATTAACGAGTGAATTCTTCTAGGGCCTTGAAAAAAAAAATATTTTACACCAACTCCTAAAAAAATCCTTGAAATTTCCATCACCATTAGATTAAGTGTTAGACAAATAAAATCAAAAATAACAGTGTTTTACCTACCAACACTTAGTAAGACGCTTATTCTAAGGTAAACCTTTTTCACTATTTCTGACATGAAGGGTTCTTGAATTTTTCTACTCATACCCTAGAAAACTCATGGAATTTTATGAGCTCGTAGTATTACGAGCTCTGCCTTTCATAGCTAATAAATAAAGCTTTTGATACAAACTGCAGCTTGTGGATACTCGCAGGAGGTAAAGCTAAACGTAACTGGTAAAAAAAAAATGCCCAAAATGCATTGTAATGCCAACACGACACGTTTTTTCTCCTCAGTTATCTTGGGAATGTCTAATGTATCTTTGTTTCTGTTATTGTTTTAGTATAGTCCAAAGTATCTGTACGCATTATGCTGCGGCGAAGACGTGTTTACCGTTTACTGGTGCATCCCACCCGTCAAAGCACGTTATATACGGTTTGTTTTTACAAGATCCAAGTCAACTGGTCCTTACAAAGCATGCTTAAAGTTTGAGGTTTACGGCTGTTCTGGTAAGCAAATCGTTAATTCATAGATATAATAAATGAAAATGATAAAAATAGGTTAAAACCGCGTAGAAAAAACCCCCGAAACATCAGTTATATATACTCCATCATGTCAAACGTCGAACTTCACATGAGCCGAACCTAATGACTTCAAAGAAGATCGCCTTGTTATCCCTTGTTTCGCTCATGTGAAGTTCGACGTTTGCCTGAGCCAAAGAATATTTAGAGAGCAGCTTAAGATTCTCGTTTACGGCAAACGTGAAACGTCAGTTGACCATTAAAAAATGCTTTATAATTAGTGAAAAGGAATCGCAAAAATCTCCAAGTAGTAGATAAACAAAAGGATACTTGTCTTTGTCGAGAAGGTTTGCAAAAGGTAAAGTGAAATGTAGGGAAACGATGAAAAAATGGTCACGTTTGCCGTTTGCGGGAAGGAAAAATGTGAATCTTAAGAGAGTTTTAGATTGACTTTTTTTTCTCCCCGCAAACGGCAAACGTGACCACGTTTTCATAGTTTTCCTTTATTTTACTTTACCTTTTACAAGCTTCTCTCCAAGCGCAAATACTCTTTTGTTTTTCTTCTATTTGAACTTTTTTGCGATTCTTTTTCAGTAATTTAAAAGAATCTTTCACTGGTCAACTAACGTTTCACGTTTGCCGTGAACGTAAATCTAAAACTCTCTTTAATCTGTCTAATACTCGTTTACGACAAACGTGAAATGTCAGTTGACCAGTGAAAAGTTCTCTTAAATGAGTGAAAGGGAATCACAAAAAATTTACAAGTAAAGATAAGAAAAGAATCTTAGTTTTTGGTTAGAAGGTTTGCGAAAGGTAAAGTGAAATACAGCTAGAAAAACGATGAAAACTTGGTCACGTTTTTGCCTCTAGCTCGCGGAAAGAAAAAACACCAATCTTAAACTCTATCGATTAATGCTTCGCTTGTCACGCATCAAAGTTTCAATGCGATGCTTTGTGCAAAATGCTCAGTGATTCGTGAAAGGAGAAAAGAATAAATATAAATTCACCCAAGAACAGATGTTGTAGGTCTCAAAGGAGGACAAACTATTTTTGAAAGACAGTATCTCGCATGAGGTACATAAATAACAACAGGTTTGTAACTTTCAATGAGAATTCCGAATAGCTAGTTGTTCTAAATGCAGTTTTTATTCAAGTTGCGCTCTTTACATAATCTTAATCTTATCATATTGTCTCCCACTCTATCCAATAACTTTTAACGATTTTATGATATATTTATATTTTATAGTTTCTTAATCTTTTTTATAATTGTAATAATTTTTTTTCTTTTCTACCAGAGATTTCATTGTTATTAGTTAGTGGGGGCTGCCGTATATTTGAGGATTCAGTTCTTCCCTGGCAGCACCCTTTTTGCAACTTTTTTCTATTATTATTATTATTTGTTTGTAAATAAAGTTATTATAAATAAATAAATTACACACCGCGGATATACTGGTATCTCGTCAGTAAATTTTGAATTTCTCAACCACTGTCTGCTTCACACCGCGCTCACCACCATTGAGTATAGTTAACGCAATGAATTACTGAGTGTTTGCCATTTTATATTGAGGATAATGATAAAAATATAAACTTAGCGAGTGGAGCTTGCTGCAAGTCTGTCAATTTTCCAGCCGGCATTTTCACGCATCCTTGAGAAAAGATCAGACTTGGGTGTCATTATGAAAAACAGACATTGAGTAAGCGATTATCTGTCTGTTGATTTTATGCCCGTCATATTAAAAGAACAAGCTAGCCATAATAAGAAAAGACTTGTGTAATAAAGAGACAAACTGTTAACTGAATGAACTAAAAAAGGAAACTCTCCTGGAGGGTTTGTTAAATAAACAGAGAAAGACGAAAAACAATTCATAAAAATTCTTAAAGAAAGTTGAGTTAATAATGCGCGTCTACTATAGAGAGACCATCGCATCTTAATTCAAAAACTTTACTATAACTGCCTCGTTAATTCCTTTGTTGCAAGTGATTCTAATGCTCTTTTCGGCATCTTTAGGGACGCTAATTTCAACCAATCAATTCCATGACAATATCAGTTCAAAACGCCCCGCGAATAATTTGAAAGAACGATGTGTCTGAAATATTTCTTAGCGATGAAGAAAACTGAAAACTTTCGAGGATCTAGCCAAGGGCACTAGGACACCGAATGTGGTTGGATTTCTATAGGTTTTTTCCCCTTTCGATTATTTGARTTAAATTAACGTTATATACTTGTTTACTTATCTTGTGTCCGTGTTCCTTCGTTGTCTTCGTTCGCTGTTGTAATGCAGACGTTTTCATTCCAAAGGTCAAACGGTTTGAATAGCCTACGAGCGTTACTTCTTTAACGGCCGTTCCGTACTTGACTCTGTTTGAACTATACCAACAACAACGCGACCGTGCGATGCTCCTTACGTCAGTAATATTCAACCGTCCAGTTAATATGGTTAATCAAATTCACCTTAAGTTCTATATAGAGCCCTTGACCTTTGGAATGAAAACGTCTGCATTACAACAGCGAACGAAGACAACGAAGGAACACGGACACAAGATAAGTAAACAAGTATATAACGTTAATTTAATTCAAATAATCGAAAGGGGAAAAAACCTATAGAAATCCAACCACATTCGGTGTCCTAGTGCCCTTGGTCGAGAGGGTTGTTAGCAGTCGTCATCTCGTACTTAATTGTTGTTGCCATCTGTACCATCATTGGGAATACTGTGGCTATCATGGCTCTGTCTTTCATTAGAATAAGCAGGAATAACCCCATGAATAACCAGTTTCTGTGTAGTTTATGCGTAGCAGATTTACTGGTATTCTGATTGTTCCTTCTGCGATAGATGCGGTCATACAAGGACAATGGCGAGCAGGAACCTTCTGGGAATTCGTTAATGGATTTGGGAACTTTTTCTTTTGCATTTCATCGATAATACACCTTGCGCTACTTTCATTTGATCGCTACATCGCTGTTTATTATCCACTCAAGTATCACAGAAAAATGAGTTCCAAACGAATCGTAATGATGACCATTTGCGCTTGGGTTTATAACTGCTTTTGGGCTTTAGTTCCTGGACTTACAGACATTACGTCATACGAATGCTTTATTCCCTACCTTGAGAAATGCCGTGAGAAACACTGGTCCAGCAGCTGGCTTCACGTCGCCTTTACTATCGGAGTTATATTTCTTACTTATGGATTAGCAATGTTCACCATGGTATACATGAATATTCGCTTATGCAGAGCTGTACTCGACCAGAAATCAGAGCACCAAAATACCATTGTACTTGGACATTTTGTGGTGAAACACCAATCAACCGCTGCGTTACGAGTCCCACCTATTATAGATCTAGAGTCATCTACTATAGAGTCATCTATAGAGCCCTCCACATCATCTAAACAGTCAAATTCCACGCCATTGCCAACTTCGAAAGTCAAGGGAATAACGCTTTTGTTAGTAATGGTATCTGCTTTCTTCATCACTTGGACTCCGTATTGTATCTGCCTGTTTATGGAAATTATTTCTGGCGAAAAAATGAAGAACAGTGCTACCTTGATTTCCATGTTCATTGGGTTGGGAAACAGCGCAGTTAATCCTATAGTGTACTGTATTAAGTATAGAAGATTCAGATTGGCTTTACTAGGCCTGTTTTCAAAGAGATGCAAGGTTAATATCGCCCCTGTGTCATGACTTATGTACTAAGTATACTGTCTAATAATGTTTTCAATCCCTGATATTAAATTTTCACTTTGCGTTTCTTTTCTGACGCAATAATAAATTCCCGTAATGATTTTGTATTGCTAAACCTCGAAGTTAGAATTGAATGAATGTAATAAGACCTTTTTTTTTGACATTTGTTTTTCAGATGGCTCGTGAGAACAAAGCTCTAAGTAAAAATCGAAAATTCGATATTCTAGGGAAAACGTTATTTAGTTTTAGAACTCTCATCTTTTTATTTCTTTCTATGCAATTCTGATTCCCAGAGAAAGGTTCTCTTGCTCCGGTTCGTCTAATTTTTAAACTCAGTCTTTGAGAAAAGAATTGTGTCATTATGGACAGACATAAGATGGACTAAAAATAGAAACTCTCCTTGAATGCATGTTAAATAAACAGAGAAAAACAAAAAGACAATTCTACTATGAAAAGGCCACCGCATCTTAATTTAGAAACCTTGCTAACTGCCTCGTTAATTCCTTTGTTGCAAGTGATTCTCATGCTCATTATGAACAGACAAAAGATGGACTAAAAATAGAAGCTCTCCTTGAAGGCTTATTAAACATAAAAAGACAAACGAAAAAATCAATGTCTTAAAGATTAATAACAAAGTGCGTCTACTATGAATGGGTACAGCATCTTCATTTAAAGACTTTACTAACTGCCTAATTAGTTTCTTTATTGCTAGTGATTCAAATGCTCTTTTCGGCCTCGTCAGAGAAGCTGATTTGAACCAATCAATCCCATGAAAATATAAGTTCAAAACGCCCCGCGAATAATTTGAAAAAACGATGTGTCTGAAATGTTTCTTCGCGATGAAGAAAACTGAAGACTTTTGAGTATTTAGCCTATAGTTCGCATTCAAGTGCCGACGCTTCCTTGCCACCTGCGAGCAACTGAGAAGGCTATAAGGTAGAAATACCTTGCTTCAAAATGAAAAATATAAGAGTTACAATAATTAGAAAATGCGCGCAAACAATTTGAAAGTCTAACAGTACGGTGCATCTAAATATTTCTGCAAAAGTTTTAACTTCTAAATTATTGCGCAATAAAAATATTTTACCTAAGTCTCTATTAGCGTTAATAAACTAGAAAAATATGATAAAAATCGTTTGAATAAATCAGAAAAGGAAGAGGGAAAGGCTGTATAATTCTATGAAATAAGAACGTATCTGTATCAACTTGAGCAGAATTTGTTGTTTTTTTCCCCCATTGATTCTAGGGTTTTTTCTCCAGATTCCCCTTTTTTTCTCCATTCAGAAACCCAACACGCTCATTTCCACCTTAGTTGGATCGATTGGATTCTGACCATGTCTGAGGATTCGTTTGCTATTCTGGATTTTATAAGGGCCATCGCTCTAAAATGCACAGATCTAGATGCACAATGTTTGACGTAACACTGTAAGCAAAAAACGCAAAAGCATCAAAGATACAATCAATTATTGTTTTTTTTTTCATGGTCATGAAGCCGAGACCCAATCGATATCGTACGGTCAGGGAAGACACCGTCGTGTTAATGCAGGGGTGAGAAGCACTCCTACTCGACCTGACAGGACCAGAGCAAGTATCGTGCTGGAGGGAGACCCATACTGGGCATGGTGTCCCTTGTATAAAGACCCTGTTTTTGTGAGTATCTGGGTATTTTAGCTAAGAAAATTTAATCACAGTAACTACTTCGTGGTGTTACGGTTTCCGAGCATTCTGATTGGATAATAATAATAATAATAATAGTAATAATAATAATAATAATAACAACAACAACAACAACGACAACAACAACAACGACAACAACAACGACGACAACAACAACAACTACAACAGCAACAATAACGATGACGATGATAGTAATAATGATAACGCCATTATTCAGTTCTTTGTATCTGAGAAAAAGGTAGTGTTCTTTGAGAGTGTAACTCCTTTGGCAGTATTTCTGCATAATGAGCAACCGGAGAAAAAAACTGGGTCGAGTTGGCATTGCAGTGCATTCTGGGACTGCTTTAGGCAACATATTTCTAAGATGACGTCTAACACGGTCCCAAAATTCTCTTCAATGTCAACTCTACCCCGGCTTTCCCTCAACCTAGGAATCGCTAATAAGGACTTCATAAAAGAACAAAAGCATGGTTAAAGAAATTGTACTACATTTTCACTTTTATTTCATTAACAGGTGTTATATAGCATACTGTCTTGGCCTCAAATGTGAAAAATTATATAAAGGCGATTTTTTCTGATTTTAAATTCACCTTTTACTTTGATCTAGATTGGGCTCCCTGTGTTTCACAATATCATTATGGAACATTGTGCTGGAGATTCATTATTCTTTCATTATTTTAGTTGCACTTCGGAGATCCTCGAGTCAAAGAAAGAGTGGAAAAGAATTATAATCTTTACGAAATCGACTTGCTCAAGATCTTCGCCATCAGCAGAATAGTGGTTCAAGGCGATAGAACAAGAGAGGATGGATGCAGGGCTCATACTAGTTCAGTCTCGTTCATTTACTCGCCTGATTCAAAGACATGGGTCTTGACAAGAGACTATAATGGAAAAGACGACTTTAAATTCAGAACCACGGTAAGATACTTGCCCATTTTTTTGGCTGAGCTGATCGTATTGCTCTAAGAACCCTTTAATTACTTCTGTTTACACAACATTCGTATTCGATCATACCGCTGTTTTTGAAGACCACAGACTCATTTGCACAGGCTTAGCCTCGTCTATAAGTAAGCTATTCACAGATACTATTAAAAGTCCGTGGGATTCCGAAACATTGGTATTATTCAAACTACACATCTTTACGATTATTATTGACTTTTGCAAATGATTTGTGAGGCTTAACCTGTACAAAGGAGCCTTCAGTCATAAAGCACAGCGGTATTTACCGAATAAAGGTCATGTTTGTGGGCCAGTCCTCATCTACTACATCTATCGTATTCACTTCTGCATAGCTTTTGCTTGCCTAATGCGTCATGCATGTGTATTGTATATCTACTGTATAATTATACCCTGCATGTATACCGGCTGCATGTATATCTGTCTCTTACATACTACTATAATTCTCTCTTATAATATGGCTATAATTAGCTGTTATTCTCCCTGATGCATACCCATTGTTTCTACTGCATACCGCCATGTTGGATTTGAACCCGTCGCGCATGCGCCAACATTTTCATCATATGTCCTGCATTCCTATGGTATAATCTACTGCCTATCTACTTCATCCTTACGTAATGCCGATTATAAGAGTATTTAAGATAACTTATACATATGAGCGACGTTAGATACCATGAGGAGTTAAAGAAAAATAAAGGCGCGCGCGACAAAAAATGTTTTAGTGCATTTTGTATCGATTTGTTTAACTCTTTCATATTACGAAGAAAATTATCTTAGCTTCAAATTAAAAGATATATAATTATTCAATTTTTCCGATTTCATTTTCACCTTTCACTTTTGTCTAAATTGGGCTCCCTGTGCGCAATGCCTACTCTTTCGTCGCTCGCACATGGACTTTCACCTGCATTCTTATAGTATAATCTACTACCTAACACCCTATCTACTACATACTTACGCAATGCCTAGTTTTTCGCTCGCGTATGCCTTAACATTTTCGCCATGTGTCCTGCAACTGCAGCTTGGAGGTATATCAACTGTATGCCTAATGAATACCTTTTGTACTTTTCTACACTACCTGCTGCATAATTGTCTATTTATTGCACCTTTAATGCATTACTATTTCCTGTTACCCCCAGCTTCTACCTGCTGTACAAAGTCCTTGTGGGTATGCAGCCATTGACATCACCCCCACGGCCTTCAGTCGTTACTTTCGGGTCATACCTCAGCAATACTACGTTGAACAGTGTTTAAGAATAGTGCTTGTGGGCTATGAACCTGGTAAGGTTTTTTTTCTTACGTAAAAGTAACTTTTTTTACCAAAATGTGAATAACTAATGAGGTAAAAGTTTGTATGTCCAGTGGCGATTCCAGGATTTAAAAAAAAGGGGGGGGAGGGTTCCAATTTCATTCTACTGACTGGGTAAAGAACATTATTGGCTTCACGAGATCTGACAAAAAGGGGGCTCCATGTAACCCACAGAACTATATATATTTATCATATTATCCATAATTATCCATAAAATACCTATATTTCTCCTTTTCGAAAAACTGATATTTTCACATATGAAAATAACATGTTATTTTCACATGTGAAAATATCGTTTCCATGTGTATTTAAGCTATTAGTTTATAAATAAAAACTTTTTATAATAATAAAAAGCTTGTTAAGTTGAGCTGCGCTCACTCGTGAGAGATATATTTTCAATACTCGAAGATAAATTTCGTATCTCCGCGCGCCCATGTAATATCCTTTACATATTTCATAGTCTAACGTTATGGATTTGGCACTAGTTCTATTTGTCTAACAGGATATGATTGAAGTTGGATTTGAATGCATTGGGTTTTTTTAGGAAGCCAGCCGCAGTTCCCTAAAAGACCCAGGAAACCTTCTCCAGGTAAACATGTTTTTCGTGAATGTCTTGGAAACACTTGTATTAAACACTTGTATTAAACACTTGTATTAAACTCCAGTTGAGTGGACCCTTTTGATCAAACTCAAGGTCAACCAGAATCAGAATTGAAAATTCAACATCATATTTTGAATAGCGTTTATTTTCCATGATTCGGTCATGAAATATGAATTCTTCATTCTTCATCTTAATCTTAATTGATGTTAGTTGAACTCATGGCGGAATTCTAGTTGAATCAACACGACAAATCTACATTCTGCTCAGCCTACGCTATAGGAATTCATCTGGATTGTTTGATTCCGCGCGTGCTATCAAGAACGACTGAAGCGGGTATCTGGTTTATTTGATGTTTGTTGTAGCGTGTAAAACATCTCTGGGTATGGAAAGCAACATCATCAAAGACAAGGAAATCACAGCTAGTTCACACCTGAAGCACGACACGAGAACAGAACCACGTCACGCAAGACTAAAACAAAATGGCGGCTGGTGTGTGGACAAAATGACACATTTCAATTCTTACTACGGACTCAATGACTCGCTCGGTAAGCACGATGCGTAGCTAGAGGAGTGTTCTTAACTCTTCTCGAGTGTTTTGTCAGTCCGTCCCAAAATGCTATATAACAGCGCACAGAACAGCAAGCAAGTTTTTACTTTTATGAAATAGAAAAGCTGGTATTTTGAATACGAATAAAGAAATAAAAAACTCGCACCTGTCTGCTCTTATGATAAAGTACGGGCGTCGACCAATGAGAGTGCGCGGTCCTTGCCGTAGTATAAGTAATGGACCGCAAATTGACCTATTACGGCGCGTGAAAGCAGTATATCTTACCACATAATAAATAAGAGATATTTTATAAGTGACTTTGAAAACGAAAAAATATTGAACTACCATCTCAACTCTAACAACAGCTGTTTATTGTTTTTCCTCCAGAAATCGATCTAATGACTGAGCGCATCATCGATGGGTTTGCCAGCCAGGGCTACTCTGACGCCATGAAGAAAAGATGGGTGACGGCTTATGTTGTTCACTACAGCCTGGACGGAGTGTCTTGGTCTGTCATTTCTATGAGAGAACAAGAGAGGGTACGGAAAAGTAGTTAAGGAAAGATGGGTGACGGCTTATGTTGTTCACTACAGCCTGGATGGGGTGTCTTGGTCTGTTATTTCTATGAGAGAACAAGAGAGGGTACGGAAACTGAAGTAGTTAAGACTAAAAGATGGGTGACGCCTTATTCACTACAAGAACGAGTATTGACAAGTATTTAAGAAAAGATGAGTGATGGTTTATATTGTTCACTAGAGGTGGTATACCATCAGTGCTGCGTTCTAATTGTATAAGCTACTACTAGGCTATAAGTTATATCCTACTAGTAGCGAAAAGTGCCGGCTTAAGACTATTTAACTTTAATGCAAAACTTGTTTGCATCTATATATTTAACCGACTAAATGGATTTGACTAAAACAATTAGTCCTCTCGCCCTCATGGCCTTCGGGCTGGAGGACTAATCGCTAAAATAAATAAATCGCCATTCATTTTCTTAGGAAAGAAACTCAAGTTATTTGTATATTTGTATCATTCTGACAGGTATTTCTAGCCAACAGTGATCCAGACAGTATTGTTCGTCATTATCTTAACCCTCGTATTCGTGCTCGTAAGATCAGATTCGTCCCCGTGGCTTGGCATAACTGGGTGTGTATGCGTGTTGAGATCTATGGCTGTGACGATGGTAAGTACTCTGTAATCATATATTTATGAGGGAATCGAGGTGCCTTCGGCTATTCTTTAAGGTGTGATTACACGGAGCAATTTTCTCTGCAACTTGTCTCGTAAGAGCGTTGCGACACACGTTGCAAGAGTGTCTACACGGTGCAACGGAGATGCAATCGTTGCCAAAAGTTGAAACCAATTTTACTTTTTGCAACGATCGCTGCAACTTGGCTCGCAACATTTTTCAATTTGCGCTGTAGGTTACACGCTGCAATGCTCCATGCAACTTGTGTTGCAACGTCGTTGCGAGACAAGTTGCAGAGAAATTGCTCCGTGTAATCGCGCCTTTAGGGTCTCGCCTTTAGGGTCTCGCCTTCCATTCCTGAACTCGACATCACATGTGAGCTGAAAGTTTGTTGGGTCTCTTCCTTTGATTCGAAGGTTTTCTTTGATTCAGATGTTGTTTCAGGGAAAGAAAGAATTTTTTTGGGGGGTTGCGCTGCTTCCCACCCACCATTGTGTTCGCGGGGTCAACACTCGGATACCAGATTAGAAAGCGAGTTGAGTCTTTGATTTCTTTCGAGCGTTCTTCTAGGAGTTTTCTCTCGTTTTTCCTTGCGCGCACTTCTACGCAACGTTTACGGATATAGTTCTCTCGTAGTTTCAGTTTACATGTTTACTCTTCATAGGAACATCTTTTGAATCACGACTTGAAAAGAAGTTACGCGGTAAGTTAAGTATAGAAATATGACTCAGTAGAACTCTACCGGAATAAATGCTACCTTGGATAAACATGATAAACGTGTTTAATGCCTTGGATAAACAGGATAAACGTATTTGATGCCTTGGATAAACAGGATAAACGTGTTTGATGCCTTGAATAAACAGGATAAACGTGTTTGATACCGGTAGCCATTACAGTTGCATTCTTCTATTTTCTTCCAGATATGGAAACTCAAAAGCTTGCTCTAGTTCCACTGGAACCTGACGTTAGTCTGACCTTTAATTGTGGAGACTATGAGACATGGGGACACACTAACTACCTCAAGTATGGCGTACATAGATAGGTGTCTTATTACTGAGCTCCTGGACCCAGTTAAATGAAGGATGGGATTGCGCTATCCGACACCGATCCAGTGGATAAATTTATTGTATAACAGCATCGACGTATCCCACTGGATTGGATAGCGCTATCCACCCTTCGTACAACCGGGCCCTTGGTGCAAGGCCCCTTTACTCTTGCCCGTTTAGGGTAGGGATGTGCCGCTGAGCCCTCTGAACCCTGACCCTGTTCCAGAGTAAAAATCGCTGAAATTCATACCCTGTTCCAGAGCAAAATCGCTGAAAACCTTGTTCCAGAGAGGAGAGAAGGTGATTTCATATACCCTGTTCCAGAGCGAGCGCGATTTTATATACCCTGTTCCAGAGTAGAATCGCTGAAAACCATACCCTGTTTGGCGGCACGTACCCGCATAGCGAATATGGGGGAGTACCCCCCCCCCNCCCCCCGGGGTAAGGCCGCCCTATGAGTTTCAGAACTGCATTTTGATGAGGAGAGGAACTGATCTGCAAAAGGGGTATTACCTATGTAATCATGTAATCATTCGCAGGGTCAACTTAGATAGAGCAAAAAGCACGTGGTATCAGAAAGCTTTCTATAAGGACTTCCCATTGGTGGAGAAGACTCTCACCTTAGCAACCAACCAGTTTCCAAGTGATTTTGGAAGTCGTCACTTTATGTGTATCGGGAGAACCAGAGATAATGTAGAAATGTTCTGGCAACATATCATTGCTGTTCAACAAGGTAAAGTGTAGTTAACGGCTAAGATATCTATTGATGGGTGACTTTCAGTAGTTTTTTTGACCATAATAGGCTTTGCAGCACGTCGGAATGCAGCTCAATTTGGAGGACATAACAATAGGTTTTCAGTTCTCATGAGATTGAAATCCTTTTTTTTTTTTTTTTTTTTGTCCTCCATATTGAGCTCCTTTGACGTCTCATGACCATGCAAGGGTGGGTCTATAGACCTAATTCGTTGTGATGCAATGTTTTCCCATTGCGCACCATGTGTCATTCTCTTGAGAATAAGATTCTTTGTTTGAGTTATCCATATCCATGTGTCTTCTCATGCGCGTTCGTTAAAAAAAGAAATGATACTCAAGGGAATAAAACGTGGTCTAGAATTGGAAAACCTTCCGTCACCACAAATAGAGGCTTTGCACCATCACAAGAGGGCAGTCATTTGCCCTGGTAAACTAAATTTATTCTCATGTAAATATTAGATTAAACCAAGATTCAATTGTTCCTGTGTCCCGTCCATGCGGCAAAGGTGCAAAGCCTCTGCTATAATATCTATTAGTCTTCAATATTTAAACTTTTTTGTAGGATTGCTTTCATACATGTTAAAATATGCCATCTGCCTTTTTAGGTCCTCGTTCGCCTACTTGGCTGACGTCACCTCACGATGACATGAGAAACATGCACTCAGCAGGTATGTAAGTTGCACTAATATGTTGAACAAACCACAGGGAACCCACTTCAGTTAAAAGTAACTAAAAGTGTAATAAAACATGCACTCAGCAGGCATGTAAGTTGCACTACTATGTTGAACAAACCACAGGGAACCCCACTCAGATAAAAGTATCCAAAAATATCATATTCTCTACTTTCACATCCCCATAATGCCTTGCGTCTTTTGGGGATAACCAATCAAAAAACTGTCCCAAATTGAAAGGTTTCTTAATTGAATTTATACTATACCTGCTTTTATCTGTACAATACTGATTATCAGTTTATTCCAAGTTATTTTTGCGTGTACAGATGATCAAGAGTTTTGGTCTTACAAAAAATGTATTGACTTACGAAAAAATGTTTAAAATTTACCTTAAACGTCTTCAAGCTTCTATCTTTTTCTGCTTTTTACTTCTTCATTTTATTTTTGGATACCAAACAAGGTATTGTCAACATTGTCTGATCAGCCTTCAGCAAAATAAGTGGATTTTTACCCTCTGGTTACCCTCCAAAGACGCAAAGGATTATGGGGATGTGAAAGTAGAGGCCCAGTCACTATACTCAAATACTTTTGTAGCGGCGCTCTTTGGTTTCTGGATACAGCATAATTGAGATGTTTTTTTTGTGTGGGGTGATGTCCCAATCTAATTTTTCTCCATTTAAAAAAAATGTTTCTCGTGAAAACGTATTTTTCATCTTTCATTTTTATTTGATTTCAATATTTATTATAATTTGTTTTATTGATTTCATTACCAAATACACACATTTCTTATAATAGAAATTACAATCAACACAGCACGAGAAAGACGATAGAAAAGACGAGCATGTCACAGGAGGCGGTTAAAGAGTCCAATTGACAACCGCCCCCTTAAATATAAAGTCGCAGGCGTCTATACTTACACTACCAGCTTCCAGTAATAATTTTTTAACTTTATTTAGATATCCCTCAAATAGTTGTTCTCCAGCGTTTTGACATAACGTATGATGGAGGTACCCCCATTTGGTCTGAACCTGCAGTCGTTTATGCCAGCGGTAACATTGCATCAATAGGTGTTTATGTCATAGGAATGCGTGAGTATTGGATTCTCGTTACTAATAAAGATTCTAAGATTCTAAATAAAGATTGGCTATTAACTGATTCCTCAGTATTAATAAGTAGACAAAGTTGAATATTTAAGTGGAAAACTGCTAAAGAAGGCTAAAGACAATCCAGCTGAGCGGTGAATTTTGTTTCAGCCAATTACAGCGCGTTTACCTGTTTTGCCGTCGGCCCTCACTCCCAGGCTACTGTAACCCAACTTTAGCGTTTTCCTCTGTTTTCTTTTGACTTTAAAACATAATATATATACGTACCTACAATAAGCGAAAATATGGAATGGAAGAATATTAAAACAATTTCACTTTCACCGCCATGTTTTCTTCATTCTTTCAAGCTTAGGGGCCGGTTTTTTGTCCACTCATGCTTCGCGCACCGCGTTCGCCGCTCAACTGGATACATTTTACCCGTTTTGGAAGGTTCCCTTTCTCCTTTATTTGCTTCCCACAATGCATCAGCTGTTTGATACCAATCTTCTTTTGAACCTCGGTAATATGAGTTAGGTTGTTGCGGTTCTGACTAACAATAAATACTTCTCTAATAGCTTATTATCCAATGGCGATCCACAACTGTTTGATCGAAAATCGGTTACTAGATTGGCATTTCACTAACCTTGGAAGTGTCCCAAATAATGATTATAGAGCATGCGCACGACTGGCTTTGTCACGTGGTTACGAGTACATGTCCATTCTTGGTGGTACAAACTGTTTGTCTAATTGGTATTTACCGTTGGCCACTTCACCGCATCGCACGCGGGACGAAGGGCAGTGCAGACTTGAACCAAAGGTCTACTTTATCAATGGTAAGTAATGGATAGGACTTATCTTGGTTTTTGAAAAACCTGGTTGAATTTCATTGAATGACAAGTAATTTCGCGCGTTATGATTGGCTGATTAGATGTTTGATGAAGACCGTGACCGTGCGCCTTATCTTTTCACATCTTTCATATCAAGCCTACTACTATATATAAAAGTCATTTCATTATTTGAGTGATGCATCTTGAAGACTATCAAGGACATCACACTCATTAACATTTTGGAAGTATTAACCTTGACATCTTCAAGATGCGTCACTTAAATCATACGAAAACATTTTACCATTCAACTATTCCCTTCATGTAGAATCAATACTGAAAATATTGAGTTACGTGTCATAGGCACTTAAAGTTTCTAAGTTATTTGTTTATGCACTTGTATCTCAAGTGTGAGCTAAGCTTGACTATTAGAATCTTATCGCGTATAACTGGCATTTTGTCGTTCTTATATCGATAATCAGCAACTTTTGAGGAATACGTCATCTCTTGGTACAAAAAGCTGGATAATGACGACGACGATACATGGATAAAACTAGTGTCTTATCCAATCAAACCAAAGATAAAAAGCAGTCCTCACGTGTCGATGTTCGGTGAAGAGCGAGATGTGTACAAGGAAAAGATGAAAGGGTAAGTTCCAAACAAGATGACATTGGACATTCTCGTTGTAGCGTCAGTCAGGTGGGAAACTTCAAAGATAACCAGTGACGGAGTCAGGGATTCAAGGGGAGTGAGAAGAGGAGAGCCTGGTATTGAACGTTAGCAGGTTTGTTATTTCTTCTTTCCCAGTCCCTACCCCCTCCCACACGGATTCTCAGTGACAAGGAGAGGAAAAAGGGGGAACCTGGTATTGGACGTTTTTTTCTTCTTCTTCTTCTTCTTCTTCTTCTTCTTCTTCTTCTTCTTCTTCTTCTTCTTNTCTTCTTCTTCTTCTTCTTCTTCTTCTTCTTTCCCCAGTCCCTTCCCTCTCCCCCACGGATTCTCAGTGAAAAAGGGAGTGAAAAGGGGGGAACGTGGGAGCGTTTTTGTATCTAAAAAACGTTGGCAYGTTGCTTCTTTCTCCTTTCCTCTCTTCATACAGATACAGTGCTGGCAAAGTAGAGTGAACTATCTGATCAATGTATAACTAATGAGATTTTCACAACATAGCAAACCCCAATTACAACATAGCCACGATATAACGCGCACTCTGATTGCTTGATTAGCGTGCGCAAGCGTGCATCCAAAAATCCATCGTGCACGCTGAAGGGATTGAGTAGCTCGCGCTTTGTAATGAAGATTTCCATAGAACAAAATTTGAAACATTTTCGATCAACAAATGATTTTTTAAGGTTTCGCTATGTTTTAAAAAGCATTGGTCATTGATTAGTGTGCTTCCATCGAGTTTTTGGAGCACTTGGTCGGCATTATGCGCCTCGTGCGAATATTACGCCTCCTTCCATATAAGTACGCTAATCAATGACCAATCCTTTAATAGTTTAATAATGTTGACGCCACTCAGGCATCTTTCCGTTGTAGTGAGCATGCGTAGATTATGATTTTGTGATTTTTGATGTTTGACTCATCCCACATGGAACAAATCGAGGTAGAAATATTATGTGATGAAGGCTTCACTTTCATCATTTTCGAACCATGCTGCAGGGGTGACGATAAGCACAGTCTCATGGAGGCGGGATTCTGCAATTCTGCTCTGAAGATTCTGGTTGCGTTGATTTTGTAACGAAGAAAAGATTCCTTATTTGAGATTCAAAGTTAAAATCTAAGTGACTCCATACTATTGATTGATATGTACACAGATACAGTAATGGAGGGTATTACCACACCTATGATAAGGCACTATTTGGGGATACATACACAGGCAGCCATATACTTGAAATCGTGGACATGGACGTTAAGGATCTGGGTAGCTACAAGTTCGAAGTGTTTGTGCCGTCGCGAGGCGTTAGGAATGAAGCAATGATTGAACTTCGACATCAAAGTATGTATTGCACAAACTTGATCATTCTGAAATATATTGACTAACCGGCGCGCATTGGATTAGGGGTCTGGAAGTTCAGTTAACTTTTTTTTGCACAATCGTATCTTGTTTTATCTTTAAGGGGAAAATAAGAGGCTTAAATATGCCTTCTTTTCTTCAAATTCTTCCATTCTTCACAGAATGCAAGTTACTCACTGAGTAAAAAGATTAATGCTTAAGGAATCGAATATATGGTCATGTCCAAACAAATGAATAACACAAAACAGACCAGTTTCGAGTTCCAAATTACCGCTGTGTTCCTTGATTACAGACTCATTTGCACAGGGTTAGCCTCGTATCAGTGTCTAAATATTCACAAATACAAACGGTAAAGTAAAGAATGCACAACTTCAACAATACAAACACGTTGAAATTCCACGGACCTTCACTGGAACACATGAATATTCTGCACAAACTCGAGGCTAACCCTGTGTAAATGAGTCTGTAATCAAGAAACACAGCGGTAATTTCTATTCTAACACTGAATATTTTTCRATTTAATCTCAACAGTGGAACCTCAAATACAGCTGCCCGAACATTACGACGCATGTTACAATGTTCCAGGACCGCTGACTGTTAAAGCCGTGGACACAGATCTACTCGATCCTGAGGTGTGGCAAGCAAAATGGTTCAAAACGGTCTTCGTCGGAGGAAAAGCAAAAGTGCGCTATCCTTCCGATTACAGGATTTCTTATCAGGTGATGTACCGCTGATATTAGAGACCTTTAGCATCAGGTTTAACGCTAACTGCACGAACCAGGCCTAGTATTACGCCTGCAAATACGGAGAAACTCTCAAAATAAATGAAAACTCGATCAATTTGGCAGCTCTTCCAGCAACAAAGAAACTTCGTTATGACGCCTTGCTAAATGTCAAAAGTTTGACGGAAAACGCGTTTGACGTCGAAATGCAAGAACGTCGTGCTAAAGGTCTTGATTGATAATATTTGAAGCTATCAAGAACCGTGGAGCACGCTAAGCAGTAAGGGGTTTAGAGTGGAAAATATAAGAGCCTAGTATGCAGAAGAGAAAAAGTGGGACTG